TGCTGAAATGATTATTTTTCTTCAGTTGTTCTACTAATGAATAAAACCAAATTCTGTTCATTAATAAAACCAAATTTCTTCACTTCTTCTGGTTGAAGAACCTTACAGAAAGAAGAGTCAGGATTCCAGGAGGACATCATAACCTCTAAGGAACCTGTTTCTGACATCTGGAAACAGGCAGAAAGGTACTGCATGGTCCTCTCACTTACTTCAGGTATCTGACATACATTCTTTTCAAGTTTTATTGCTCTGAGAAGTTCACTAGAAGACTCATCATTGCAACACAGTCCTTCAGGTCTATAGGACTCATGAAGCAGTGCCCTGAAAGGCTCTATATGGCCTCCTCTCCTATCTTCAGCTACGATACCTTGGGACTGTTAACACAAGGAGTATTCTCTAGTCTAGAATGTTGCCCCACAATCAACAACAATCCATAAACCTAACTCCTCTGAAAAAGAAGAGTGACCTTCTTACAGGCACACATCAGCATCCAGGAAGGATAACCTTCCCGTGAAGTAGCATAGCACAGTGACATCATATCAAGCCATATCCCATGATCAAAAGGAAACTTAATAACCATACACTCATTCATTATAAATAATGTGCTCTACTGGAGACAAAGTTATACTAAAATATATTAACCTATTATAAGATGATTACATACTCTTCTTTCCTGATGTGCTCGTAAAAACGGGAAGAATCTATTTTGGTTTACTAAATGAAATGGGTTACTGTATTTTACTAGCTAATAAAATCCCCATTTTGTCACTTGTATATTAGTTTAAGGTTTCTTAATAAAACACGCTTAAATGGTTTGTTTTGCAGAAAACTAGGTCACTTCCAAAGCTCTAGCATATGCAAGATTTCCAATCTCACCTTCACAGTGTCAGCTGACAGTGTATATAATAACCAATGAATATTTGCTGCCTTTCTACCAAGCTTCTTTATAAGCAGTAGCATATTTGGAATGGCAAAAAGCAGAAATAGGTGGGTACCCAAAAATGGTTTCCAATACTGTTTCACAGATGACAAGTTCCTAAATACAACTGGGTTCAACATTAACATCAGTGACTCCTGGTCAACAAACCACCTAGATACTGCTTCAGACAGGTGAGATCCATTTGGTTATCAGGAAATACAATTTAAGTGCAAATTTCATTTATTTCCATCACATCTTATGCCAACTCTCTAGGTACACACACTCTAGCACAGAAACACCTTGGTAAAATACATTACCTGTTCTGAAAATCTGCCACCATGTCCCTTCGTTCAGAAATCTTTGAAGAACCATCCAATCTCATGTAGGTATGTTTCCTATAAACCATGTATTCCTGCAAAGAACACACAGTAGAAAAATATGGTTGCTCTTGAAACTGTTTGATCTTGATTCTTCCAGAAAACAATAAAAGCAGAATTGCTACTTAAGAAATAAATCCACCCTAAATAACATCAACAAATATGCCATAAGAAATCTTATGTAAGCAATACTTTATAATAATATATATTCGGAAATTAAAGCTACTCAATCAAGTGTCAGTTTTTGCATTTCACATATATGAAAGATAAATGACGATGTCAGTTCAGAATTGGGGCTGCATTTGCTGCACTGCAGACAATGTTAGGGTACAATGCCTTTTTCTATAAATAAACATAAAATACATAAAATACATAAAATCACTAAAATGGAAAGTTTCTTTTCAAAAAGTCTGTATTTTTACTAAATGCTGAGCTTTCACTGTGTAAGCAAACCTTTCCTAACAAACCAGCTGTACCTGCTCCCTGTCAATTTTAAACCATTTGCCTAGTGGCTTTAAGAACCCAGTACTGTACGCTAACGTCTGTCCAGGCTTTATCGCACCAGTACAGAGCCTGTGAATCTCTGGATCTCCTGGCATACAAAGACACTTTGAACATGACACTGGTGTGTCAGCCCACAGCTCATGCCAAGCAGTGGAACCGAGACCGCTGCCTGAGACACAAATCAAATGGTAACCACCTGGAATGCTGTAGGCAAAGGCTTTTTCCAATGAGAGACATTTTTCATGCTCTAAGATACTGCGCATTTGCTGATACCTGTGCAACTATGAATAAAATCTGAATTACACAGAAAGCTCTTCAGGCTACACAGCTATCCACCGAGTTTCTCTGGAAAGATACCCTCTGACACTTCAACCTTGGCTGATGAGATGCAACTTCCACTGGTCACATTCGTTAGATTTAACCCTACTGGGGTACGTGTCTTTCTGAGATGCTGCGAGTGCAGATGAAGACAGAAAGGAAACAGATGGCACTTCAGCAGCAACAACTTTTGGATTCATCTTGCTCCAAGCTACAGTGTTGAGCAAATACAGAACTGATGTGCTGTGAGAAGTCATGGCAGTGCTTGCACTCTAATGAACCTTCTGACAGTACCATGCTCAGTTCTTTGCAGCTGTCCTTCAGGGCTCCTGCCTCTTTTTTGTCCTGCTTCACTACTGCAGAAAAGGTGAAAGAGTTGCTGTGCTATAAGGAACCTGGGAAAAGGACTGCTGTAGTGGAAAGAAGCTTCAATGTACAGCAGATGAAAAATAGGTACATAAAATTAACAATGTGGAACTAGCTGAAGTCACACTTGGTCTACCTCTAGAAAACAGAGCTGATAGCTAGTATGATTTCTGGAGTACAACAACAGAAGTTTAAAGCAGACAACAGCTACTTCACCACACAGACACTCAAGCCCTAATTTACTATCAATTTACTCCATTTCTGTGACAGGTTTCTGCCACCAACTAAACCCAAAGAGATACAGCTGTTAATTAGGCACTACGTGACCTTTTCTCCATATTTGATCGATCCTTTTTTCTACTATCACAAGGGCCTTTTCCTTCCACTTCTTTGTTACTGTCTTTATGATGATTCAACTTGATTTAGTCTTCCCTCATCTCACTATTAAGCATCTTTTCATTAGTGTCTTCTACAGAAACTTCAGCACAAACAAGAAACAATTTTTTCCATTCTACCTGGTGCATTTATCCTTATCCCAGACCTTAGACATTTCCAATAAGGCACAAATTCCAAAAGAATAAGCTATTCTACACCTGGTAATACTGGTATTCATGGGTTGTTCCCCCTCACCCATCAAACTAGCTTAGTACATTAGCCTTTAGCTAATTGTCTATTCAACATCCTGATTAGCAGTTCCTGGTCTGCCTCCAACCACTTTCCTTTGATCAAGGATACCTCACAGTAGTGTAACAGTGCCCATACGAAACATCCTTTTCGTAGACTGTTTTTATCCAGTATTTTTCCATGTATTAACAGTACACTCCTTCAATTCAGAAAACAAGAGGAAAAAAACCTACTGCAACTTATGCTACCCTTGTCAGTAGTTGTCTGTGAGTCATCACTCACAGAAGTGGTATGCTTTTAGCTAAAAAAAAAACCAAAACCAAACCAACCAACCAACAAAAAAACCCCATCAAAACAAAACCAAAAACCAACACCCCAAAAAGAACCCACTCTGATGGCAAAGAAACTATTTCAGTAGTAATATATTTCAGTAGTAATATACCTGGTCTTTCACGTAATTGTGGAAGGCCCTTGATGACTGCTCCTTTTTCTGTTCCCACAAGGGTGGGGTGGAGAAAGCCTCATGGGAAGGCTTTAATCTCATACAGAGATACTTCTGCTAGACCTGCTTGAAATATCTACTTGCCAATCTCATTAATGTAAGGGGTCACCACCCCACCAAAAGTATCAATGTAAGAAAAATAAGGAAGTGGCCCTGGCAATGGCGCACGTATACAGAAAACAAACACCACACGAGGACTCGAGTACAGTAAGGATGCAGTGTCCTTAAAGTCAGGGCTCTTCTGGGTTTACACACTGATGCTTTCTAAAAAACGATAAAGATGTTTTCCCTTCCTGTTATTTCACAGTCCAAATGGAGTACTCTAATGTTTTACCACAACTAATGAAGTTTTGGTAGAATGTAACTATGACATTTTACTTCATGCAGAACATAATTTGACCCCTCATCACACAAATGCAATGTGATTCCCAGTGAAATCCTGGACAATCACTCTTCTATACAGGAGAAAGCAATCACATTGAGGAAAAAAACCCCATGCCAATCTTAAAAAGTATGAAACACACATCTGCACGAAATAGCAGTATTGAAATTATATTTTATCCACTTCTGTTGAAAGAAGATAGTTTTCTTCTTTGTATTTACAACTGCCATTTTATAATGGCTGAATTCAGCAGCAGTTCCTCAGCTGAAGCTAAATCAAACAAACATGGTTTTATTACTTTGTAAACAATGAGTTTTGTGCTCTCTGCCATGCATAGATTAGGTTACTATGACTATCATAGCAGTTACACCGACACAGTCAAAATACTGTTATAAGAAATAGGACATCTTATGTTCTTTCATATTCAAGTAAGCAGAGGAGATGTATTTTGATATCTCAGGTCAGGAAAAAAGAAAGCATCTACTGCTACACAAGTTTTGCAAAGTTGTTCTTACAAACTGAGTCCTTACTTGATTTTTAGCTTGCTTTACTCTCTTCTGTTAACATGGGTGGGAAGAAGGAAAACCAGAGGACTTGGTAGGTGGCTTATTTGGGTAATAAAACCCAACAAGTAAAGTTTAATAAAACCCAACAAGTAAAGTTGAGCATTCAGGAGGTGGAATAGCTAAATGGTCTGCTTCCAAGCCTTTAATATGGAATGCTAACAGAAAAGACAGAAACACTAAACACTCCGCTTTATGAGCCTCACGGTGTAATGCAGGGTGTCAACAAACCTGCACCACATCCCAACGTTTGCCAAAAAAAGAGGCACTCAAAGCAATACTGGGCAAAGAGCCAAAATACAGAATTGCAACCATGCAAGTTCTGGTTTTCCTCACAGCAGCAAAAAAAACCCCTCAGCTTGTGATTTGTTATTGAACTATTAACTGCTGACCTTAAAATGCACTTCTGCACATACAGGGCTCATGATTTAGGCAGCTATTGATTGATGCTTCTCACTTTTTCTCTTCACTTTATTGTGGAGAGGACAGTATCCCATGTTCCATAATATCCTCACTGCAGATGAAGCCCATGTACACCTATGACTAATGGCTGAAGGATTGCAGGATCTTGATTTTTTAGCAGTACTGAAATCATACTACCAAATGCAAATATTCTCTCACCTACTACCATTTGCAGAGTCAGAAAACTTTATCAGGATGGTGTCTTTGGAACTAATGTACATTGTCTCCTCTTTTCTTACTCAGAATTAGATAATCATAAAAGTTAGTACTACCAATCCTTCACTGATGAGGGAGAGAGACATTGTGACGCAAGATATTCCTTTTTTCAGATCCAGCTGAAAACTCAAACTTTGGCGTTTTCAACAGAAGCCCAGAGAAATGAAAGTGTTTTTACTAAGTATTATAAGTATTATCAGTAATTAATAATTATTATCAGTATTATTAGGATAATTAATAATTATCCTAATGCCTCTTCAGACTAGCTCTTTGGTGGCATAGTCACTAATCAAATACTGGCTTATTTATTTTTTTTCTTCTGAGGCAGACTGACTGTATTTAAGTAACGAGTAATGACTTAATTCCTAATTTCTTTCCTATCGTATATGCCAGAGAACCTTATTATTAATGTCTACCAAACATCTGCACAGGAATAAGATGATAGAGGGAAACAGTAGAGGTCTAAAATTACAAGCAACATGAAGAATGTAAAATTAATCACTCTTCTCCATCTTCCTTCCAATAAAAGGACACGTAGGCATCAAAAGAAAACAGAAGGAAACAGTTCAAAGCCAGCAAAAGAGGATAATTAAGCCATGCAGCCCCTTGCCACAGGGCAGCGCAAACGACAACTATTTACAAAGACTCAAGATGCAACTGAACAATTTCATGAAGAAGAATCCATTTGGGATTGCTGAAGGCACATCTGGCTCAGAAAGCCCTTAAAGTGCAAAATACTGGACACTGAGAGACTAATTCTGAAGTATGATTATTCTCGTACATTTTCCCCATACCATCTGCTGTTGAACATTGGCAGAAACACAACACTAGGCTGAACCTTTGGTGTAACTTCGTATGGCAGCTCTTCTAGTCTCACACTAATGCGCTTACTGGGTATCCTTCAGTACAGTAATTGTGTGTCAGGTTTGCTGCGTCCAAATTACATTTATATTCACACAAATACAAATTACTTTACTAAATTATTATCTCCAAAACATTGTTGCTAGAGCTGCATCTCCAAATTTGTCTTCCGTAGGCTACGGGGCCTCCTACCTCCAGTAAGTCAATCATCCGTGTCATCTGGGAGTAGATGAGAACTCTGTGTCCTTGAGATTTCAGCCGTGTCAACAGAAGATCAAGAGCATGGAGTTTCCCACTGTCAGTGATGAGACTCTCTTTGTCTAAGAAGAAACGGAAGAAAAGCAGGTAACTAAAGCCAAAACACCTACATGCAACAAGTTAAATTCTAAGTTTTCCTAGCACTTCACTGCATTATAATCCCTAAAGTAATCAGTTGCGATGGAAGAAACTGCTGCATCCCTTCTGTCTAACACTTACAAACTGCTCACAGAAACTTTTCTTTGCTGGGACAGGAGCATGTGAATATACACACTTGACAAAATCCCTTCACAGATTGATCTCCTCATGAGTATGGACCCAATCCTTTTTTGGACAGCCATTACCCTCATCGAAGGATTCATTCGGACCAGATCAACCACCACAACATGGCTCGACAGTGGAGGAAATTTTTCTACACTTCACACATTAAAATGCTGTCCTCTTGACATTTGCTGCTTCCTGCTGCTGAGCAGGAACTTACCCTCCTCGGATCTGGTTTCAAGATCAAATCCCCTCACCACCATGGAAAGTGAAGAACAGTTCTCTAGGTCACTGTAAAATAACAGCTCCTTCACAGCACTGCCTTAACTTTTCTTTTTCTTTCCTGCCCTCCGCTTTTTTGGGTTGGTTGCGGGTTTTTTTAAGAAATGTTTCCAGATGGCGATCTTTTAAATCACTTCAGATTTTATCCTTCATGTCCTCTCTGTTTCAGCACTGCTCATGAAGTATTTTTCAGGAAGGAGATCTTCCTGTTTGTACATTCTGTACGTAAACTTCAGTAAACAATACATGACTGTTGAAAGAGGATGAAGAGATATTTTCTTCCAAAAAAATTATCTGTTGGAAAGGCTGCTGATGATTCTTTATTCTTTGGGATGCCTGACTTCAGGTTTACAGCCAAAACGGAAAGTTGACAACTGCAGATGGTGCAGGCTAGTACAGAACCCAAATATTTTCGACATGTCTAGCAGGTACCATGCTCTAACGTCTAGCAGGTAACATTTCTGCACACTTCTCATTGCACAGAATGAATTAACTCATGGGCTGAAGAAAATCCAGCTTTCTATAAGGCAGTTAAGTGTCCTGCGCAGTATCTCGACTTAAAAAAATAAGGTATAAACAAAAACTAATTCATTCATGTGAGCACCATGCATTTTAATGTAGCTAAAACCAAGTTGATACTAAAGGAACAGAAGAACACAGATCACACAACAGTGCTACGAAGAAGCATGACAGGCAACACAGAGTCCATGAGTAACCAAATGCAGTGGTGTGGCACAGAGGGCCAAGTTTGATTCTTGCACATATAACCAGGGGTTTGCTAAGAAGAACAAGAATGTAGTTGTTGTTCTGTACTTAATTGAAAAGATCATTCTGAAATAACATGACTAGGTTTAGTACGCCTTTCAGAAAGGTTGTAAAAAATCAGAAAGTGTTCAGGAAAAGCCTCCAAGATTTCAGTCTGTTAAAAAACTTGCAATGCAGTGAGGGAGTTCAGAAACTTGATCCATTTCAAGTTTCCAAAGAGCAACTGGCACTACTCAAGGTTCTTCTTTTGGCCAAAGGTTTTCAACAGCAGAAGAAAACTTTATACTAGCAGAGAAAGGCACAGTTTCCACTGACTTGTTAAAACTGTAAAAACAGGGCATGCTTCCTTCTTATCCTTCCAATAGTGGGGAAAAAATAGTCAGCAACACTTTTATCCAGAGACATGGCAGATTCTTCATCACTTCAGTGTTTCAATCAAGACCTCTTTCAATAAATATCCTTTAGCTTAAATATAAATAATGCACTTGATGCTGGTATTAGTGAGATCTACATTAGGACATCAGAAGATGCAGCCAGCAGTCCTGCTTTCTGAAATTCAAAATTTCTGTTCTATTTGCACTGTAAGCTGTGAACACTCTCTCCTTTGGTAAGTTTAGAGCCACACTCCTACAGTTCACTAGCTAAGACTTCAAGACAAGAGAGCTCTGCTGTTTTTTGTTTATCTGCCTATCTAGACAGTCACTAGTTCAGTTTGCTCTCTCTTTTGATGGTGATCTTGTTGCTTTGCCAGGAGCAAGTGCCATGCCATTGCTTGAATCGTTAGCAACTACTTCAGGGAATACATCAACTACAGAGCCAAGCCAAGGAGATACTGTAAGGAAAACTCAAGACCACAGCTCAGGCTGGCAGTTATTCTGAGTGCAACAAAACGTATAATGGCACACTCATGGCTAGAACAGAGAACTCGCTCTCAGTTACATACAAATAGTTGATAGCTTCATGCATTCTTCTAAGGAAAACCAAACTTTGAACTTAGGCAATTAGGTTAAAATGGAAGTGACTCATGGTTATTCGGTTTTAAAATACACCTATGCAAGTAAAAAACTGCACAGGAGGAATGTTTATTTCTTTATACAAAATGTTATTCTTTCCTTTAAATCCACACAGCCATGACATTCTGCTTTTATTCTAATTGGTCAGCTTGCTATTTCAGAATGAACTAAATTGAGTGAAACAACATGGAAAGTCTAGGTATACATGACAAACTGCTATGATTATTAACCAAAAGCCATCTGACTGGAAGGAAACTGAAAGAACACACAGGGTCTGTTCAAAAGTCAGTCTCGCCTGGCTCAGATTAACATATTAGCAAGTTTCCAAGAGCAAAATGCTACTGTTTTTCTCACACAGGCATGAATAGGTAGAATTAAGTTTTGGTAGCTGGAAATAATGCATGTCCTTTGGTGCTGGTTCCTTAGGTCTCAATTGTGTAAGTTACTATTTTTGAATAGCAATAAAATGCAAATTACAAGTAAAGAACTTACTTGCAAATGGTCTCACAGTCTGAAAAGTTAGCAACTTGTTAAAGGTTCATAATTTGTTCACTGTCTCAGCATCAGAGCAGACTGCACTGTGAGAAAGTTTGGGGTTTTGGTGGGTTATTTTTTACGGAAAGCAAAACAGAACTAACAAAAAAAAGATTTATCATCTCTGGAAGAGACAACCATTTGACTTTAACATGACATCTTTAAGCATGCTGTCTTGATATCGTGTTTTCCAAGATTAAATACTTCTGCATGCTTACAGCCTGCCACCTAGTGCTTCAGAGGACAAGTTCGGAAAGCAGTAACAGAAAACGTCAGTCTTTCCTCTTGCCATCTTCAGAAAACACCACAATTGTTCAAAAGAGAAAAAAAAAAGCATCTTCCACCTCTTGTTTCTCTCATTTCTATTTCTCATTCCATTCTACACTGGGAGAAGAAAAAGGCAGTTTGCTTCTTTTTCAAATGGAATTTCCAAAATTTGCAATTCTGCATTTTCTATTTTTAATGATCAGTGAAAACTTCCAGTGACAATATCGTTGGATTTTTTTTTTTTTTTTTTTTTTTTTTTTAATTTTAATAGCATCAAAGGAACTTTTAACATTTTAAGCCAGTCAGAAGATACAGGTCCTGGACCACACATCAAAAAATTCTCCCTAAGACAAAATTTTTAGGCTCTTCAGCACACTATGAAATAAACAAGAAAAGAGAACCAGACCAAAAAGAAAGTTGCTGTAAAATCATACTGTATGACCTTCAGCCTGAAAAAGCCCCCAAAGTCCCTGCCTCCAGCCACACAGGGATATGGACGTAAATTATCTACAAGGGGATACAGTGGGATCCTACAGCCTGGGAAGAATAGTTACAAATTATTACAGCTCAAAATAACCCCTGTCAGGAGCTCTGGCTGATGACTGTAGCTGGGCTCATGGCTCTCTGGAGAATGCGAAAAAGTGCCTTTGGACATGCAAAAAGCAGAGGAAAGAGAGATAAAGTCTGGGTTCCAGTTGACACCCCTGGTTCCCCTCCCGACAGTCTGCACGGCACAATGGGGTCAGTGAGGAGCTAGCTGGCTCTCACAGTAAACAGCCAGTGAGGCCGGTGCTTTTTATCGATGCTAAAAGGACTCAGACACTTCCTGCCATTTAATCCAGGACCATTTTTCTTTCAAAGAACAGGAAAAGCCTCAAGAGATTCCCACAGTGATCGCAGCTGAGCCTGCTGCCAGGGTACTGGGAACGTGGAGTCTGGGAGAGGACTGATCAGGGTTTGGAGCAGAGATATTCCTTTTTCTTCTTGTCACCTCTTTACTGCAGACCTTCACACCTACCGTTCCATTCACACTTGCTGGACTTGAGCCTTGTAAACGGCTCCCTCAGCACATCAGTCACTTTCTGTAGTGCACTGTGCCTGCTTCTGCACGTATAAACAGAGCTGCCCTGCTGTGGTATGTGCCCTCTCCTCTGAGAGCAAGTTTTAGTTTGAATGCTACGTTCCACCTAATTAAAACACAGCTGTATGAAACTATTTCATTTTTAAATCCAATATTAGCTCCAACACCTCCTAAATGAAGCCATCTTTACGTAACAGGCTTATCCCAACCCCCTTCTCAACCAAATTCTTTGTTGTGTTTTGACAACAATTTGCCTCACCTATTCACTCACTCCTGTAAGCTTCTTGTACCCCATCTTTATTCCTCTACAAATTCTTGCTGATGACAAAGTGATCCGCTTACAACGGAAGTCCTTTCAAGACCATGCACCTCTCTCTATTCTACACTGGCTACTTCTCTCATTCTCTATCCATACCTTCTACCTTAATTTATCCCTTCACTATTTCCATTCTCTCTGCTACAGTGATTCATTTTCTGTTTCCAAATAACTAATAAATAATTCAGTGAATTCCTGAATAAACCATTAAATCAACTGTCACTGAACATTAATCTAGTGCAAGCTCATGAAAAATGGTTTCTCCCTACATAGGTACAAACGTGCATGTGCTTCAGATGACTCCGAGTACTTATGAGGTACCTTCTTAAATCGGACTGTAGGAAGCAAAAGGCCATTTTCCTTTTACTGTACTAACTTCCCCGGCCAAACATCCTTGACCCAAAAGGGTCTGGGAATAACTTTGCATCTGGCAGCGTAAGCTGTTTTTCCTCTTGGCTATCTCTCAGATCTCTAGTACTTTCTGTAGAACTCTGCTTGCTGCTCAGGACCATCTTCTGACAGCTAGTGTGTGTGCAGCCCACGAAAGTCACTGCAGTACTGGCAATCAAATTCTAGTGAATCTTGGATTCCTTTAGGCTAATACTAGGAAAAAAAATGAAGTGTATTTACTAGTACACTGGTACCTTGTTCCCACTTTACCAGGAAATATGAGTAAGTCTCCTTCATTCCAATAAAACTCAGGAAACCCCTCATGCTTGTTTTCCAGGCCAATTTCCTCTGAACTTGGTCCCCAAACCTGTCCTCCTCATGGTAGACTGCTACAAGTAATGTTTATTCTTTCACTAGGAAGGCCAACAAAAGATCTCCTGGGTCAATATGAAAGTCTTCCAACCCACTAGAAGGCAAGGTATGACTGTTAGTTTTCCTGCAATCTTCCTATCTCCCATTTCAAAACAGTATTCGTTGTGAGAGCGGACTGTGCTTTAGTACGCAAATCCCTCTCTTTACAGTCATTTGGAGGGCTGACGTGCTAAGAGAGGTTTGTAGGTTTGGAAAAGTTTGTATTAGACTTGTTCAGTATCCACTGACAGCTTTCTCCAGAGAAAGGATGCTAAATCACAGTGTATTGTAAGATATCATGGTTAAATTTCACTCAAGAGGAAACACAAACACACAACTACCATCACCTCCTCAGAAAGCCCACAACCAAGCATAAGTACCACCAAAGAGCAGATGTCCTTATTTATCTCATCTCTGTTCCATGACAACCTCCAAACTTACCTGGTATCCTGATAAAAGACCAGCCGTTCTGAGGCCTGATCCCTAACAGCCCTCCTGGATACTCTGGGAAGAACTGGGAACTTCGCTTCAGCCACTCAGCCGCTAGCTCGGGAGCTCCACTGAGTACACACTGCTTCGCTTCCAGACTTCCCCCTTCCTTTAGTGCCCTGCGCTCGTATTCTGCGCTTCGGTCATTGCAGTAGGACTCCAGCGGCACAGCTGTAACCTACAGGTAAAATAATAATCAACATTCTTCTTCAGATTTCCCCTCAACCCCAAATCCCCAGTTCAAGTACCTTCCCACAGGATCAGATTTTAAAAAGTCAAATCGTTACTGGCATGTACAAATGGAAAACAACCTTAGGCCGGGCTTAAAATAAGCAAAGGTGCAACATGTCCCCACATGACAGAAGAAGTCTTATGAATGACCAGGCATGGACCATTTGCCTTCTGATAAACAGTTTGCCTTGTGCCAACTGCTACACAACTGGTGGCAAAGCTGAGAGTCAAATAATAACATCCTTGCTCTACCTCTCATTTTGGCTAATTTTTTTTAAATTTTATTTTTGCCCTTTACAATCAAGTATTTCCCCAGCAAAGATGAGATTTACGTACAGCCCTTAGCAGAAATTCATGTGATAATTCAAAATTCGGAAGACACATAAATTTGCAAGGGGAAGAAAAAAAAAAGAAGAACAGGAAAACAGCCCTGTTTTGGAACAGCACATTTCTTGGCCTTGACAGCTGAACTGAAGTGGGCCACAGAAACAGTGCAAGTGAGCACAGGGTGATCTTTTTCTTCTGGCTGTTCCACGAATCCCTTGCCCTATTACCTGCTTCAGTACATACAACCCTACTGAACAGACCAGTGTTGCAAACACAGGAAATCTGATTTCACACCATGTGAGCTACTCTGGAATGGCTCCATCACTTTAACTCCCCCTGCTCTCCCCTCATCTCTCCACATCTGGAGAGAGTGTGGAAGGTGCACGTTAGCCAAACAGCTGTATGCTGATAGCTGTAAGGTCCTCGAGTGAAGAGTTCATTCCAGCAGACAAGGCTGTCCTTCATACAATCTAGAGCTTTCTTTTATCTCTCCCTTACCAGGCTAAGAGACAACTTCAAGATACTGAAGTAATAAAACCCAAAAGCCTAACTAAGCCATGGTACACACCAGGACAGCCTAATCTGCTGGGTTTTTCGGAAGATACCTCAACAAGAGTTAAAACCACCTGATCCAAAGTAAATACAACAATTACAGAACTTTCATTCAAATACAAATACACGACAATTCACTCTCTAGCACACAAGTCTTTCCAAAAAATATGCAGAGCGACAACTTCTTCCTCCTGTCTGTTCTGAATATAAGTCTTTTTTGGGCTAATGTTTTGGGGTAGCATTTACAAAAGCTACTTCTAACCTAATTTACAAGAGAAAGCTAGTAGAAACTTTCACATACTATCAAGAGACTTAACATATTGTAAACTCAATAAAAATGAAACTAAAAATTAATATCAGACAATCAACCTTACAGCATGGGCTTAAAACAGAAAACTTGCAATGCTTTTCTGGTTTCTTCACCAGCATAGGAAGAACATAAATCACTACTTTAGCTCTTGCTTTTGTTTCAGAAGTACTATTTTAAAAGATCATCCATGTAGATTCATCCAGGTTAAAAACATTGTCATGAATCCTAACACTGCAAAATGAAGTGTTACCAAGGGGACTAGGAAAAAGCAACATAAATGAAAAGGAACACAAAGGCCATCAAACTTGTGGAAGTTTTCGTGTTTTTAAAAGGAGACAGCTGCATAGGAAGAAACAGTACAAGAGTCTGTAGGGTTTGATGGTGAACACAAAATAGCTGAGTTCCTGGATGACTGAAACATTAAATGCAGAGAAAGAACTATCAGTATATCAGCCAAAAAGCTTTCATGGATTTGAAGGAGGATGAATTTTTTGTTTCAGCTTACTCTTGTGTGACTTAATAACTGCTACATATTGAGAATAACGTACATAACATTAAATCATGCAAAAGAAAATATTTTAATTACTTATCTAAATGCTAAGCAGTAGAATAGTTTAAGTATCAGCAGTTTTAAATACTGTACTTTAGAGCTGCAAGATAAAGGGAGGAATCCATACCTGAGGACAGACTGCCTGATATCTTAGATGCTTGGCTGCTCCTCTCTGAACACTTACCAGCTAACTCAAAGTAAAAGGTATCAAGCAAGATGATCTGATAGTATTGGACTTGTTCAGCCTGGAGAAGAGAAGGCTCCGGGGAGACCTTATAGCACCTTCCAGTACCTGAAGTGGCTACAAGGGGGCTGGGGGGGGCTTTTTACAAGGGCCTGTAGTGGCAGGACAAGGGGTAACGGGTTTAAATTGAAAGTAGGGAGGTTTAGATTAGATATCAGGAAGAAATTCTTCCCAGAGAGGGTGGTGAGGCACTGGAACAGCTTGCCCAGAGAAGCTGTGGATGCCCCATCCCTGGCAGTGTTCAAGGCCAGGCTGGATGAGGCTTTGAGCAACCTGTTCTAGTGGAAGGTGTCCCTGCCCATGGCATGGGGGTTGGAACTAGATGGGTCTTTAAGGCCCCTTTCCAACCCAAACCAGTTTATTATTCTATGATCTTGGTGAAGCCTGTGGTCCACTCCTGTTTTACAGAAGCTCTTCTCATAGGAAGAAATTAATCTCACAGAGATGTATTGCTGCAAGGGCAAATCAACAGTTTAAACAGACTCGTAAGTACAATTATAGTACATAGCAAAATAAAATCAAAAAAGCTCACAAAATCTTAGCAATAATGGTAAAGCTATTGTTTAGCAAGATGACAAGAGCTATTTTTAAACCAGATTGTCTTATAGGTCAATGCACACAAGTCACATGAAACACTGCAAATTGAAAGGGACTGTGTTAAATAAAACTCTACACATTCAAAAGATTACTTACTCTTAGAGTTGCTACTATCCTGTACTGCCACCTGCAGTCAAAGCATAGCACTGTCTTTCGTGGCAGAGGGCAAAACCTTTCACTATCCAGGTCTTGTTGCCTTGAGCACTGATGTACAGCAAAACGATGGTACAGACTTTAGTTGTTTCTTTTAAAAGGACATTATTAACCATCACATTTCAGTTCATACTTCTACACTGGCTACAGTGGAACAAATACTGTTTCAAGCACAGACAACCCTGCATATTTATTTCCAGGACACATGGGACCAGCAGCCACTATGCACAAAACACAGCAGCCTTATTTCTGATGAAGAAACGTGACTTATCTACTGAAATCAATATGGAGATTCATACACTAGGATTTTTAAAATAACGTCACATCATAAAATTCTACAAGCTGTATTTCAGTAACACCTCACCTGAAGAAAGGGCTAGTAAGGAGACAATCTTGACACAAACCCTGTGTGTAACTCAGTGCAATTTCTATATTAACAAAAACAAACCTTCCCATGGTGGAAGTATGCCTGTGTAATACTGAGTGACATCTGAGGACATAAGACTATCTTTACTGTCAACTCCACACTTTTTGAAATGCATACACACACTTCTAGGGTAGAGCTCTGCATCTTTTACATGGACTTACAAGAAAAAAACAACACATCTGAAACAGGTTAAAAAAAAATAAAAATCTTCCATTCAAGCTTGCTCATGCTCCTCCTCTCTCCTTTTTGTCATGGTGCAGTTTAAGGATTTTTTTTTCCAGGTTTGTTTTTGTGGTTTTTACTCATACATCAACACATTCTTGTCAAACTGACTGAGCTTAATAGTCATGTTTCAGAAACACATCCAAAAAATACAGTGATAGGGATATATGAATGCATTCCCACCTTAAATTCAGCAACTTTGTTTAGTTAGGGTAATTGTAAAATGCTTCATGCATTTATCTCCATACAAACATAACCTTTTAGATATTGTGAAATGCCCAAAACCACTTCTCATCGCAATACCTCTGGCACACTGCAATCTACTGAACTGCTCAACTAAACCAAACAATGTAACTTTAAAAAGAATTAATTAACTTCTTAATTAATACAAGATCCATCCTCCAAGTTGGTTTTTTTGGTGATTGAGGCCTGTCTGTAATCAGGAAAATTGCCTGCACAGAAAGAAAACTGCAACACTAATGCCACCCCTTCACCACTACCCACCCCCCGCTCCCCCCAGCTGCTACATAAACATACACTCCTATTTCTATCATTTGCTCCATTAAGCTCCCAAAATTCATCACAGGTCAAACAACAGAAGGCTATCGTTTCTGAGAACATATGTGCTCTTTCTGCTGTTCCAGGTCTTCTACACTCCTGCCAAAAGTTTCTAACAAGCGTAAAATTAAGTCTTTGTATTCTCAGAAACAAAAAGCCATGCCTCCACTTAATCATTTTTATACACCAGCCAAGCCAAAACAAACAACTTGTATTCACTAGAATGTATGTCAGATATGAAGTCTCCTCTTCTTTCCCTTCCCTTCCATATGTAGCCCGCCTGAGCTCCTCTCCTCCTTTCCTAATGTATAGGAAGTATTCCAGTACAAAGGGCAACAAATCAAAGAAATCTGAAGGAGAAGTGGTTTTCACATTTTACTCTCAGAATAACTGCATGTTATTAACCAGGTAATATGTTGTGACTGGGAGGTGACATGTGACTGTGGAATCAGTTGGATTCCTGGCTCCTCCTGCTGCAGGCACAAATTCATCTTGAGAAGCAGCACGTTGGTGATAAGCAGAGTCTGTTGCCATCCTCCCTTCTCCAGATGCCAATGTATAATTGCATGTGCAGCCTCATTTGATAAAGCGTACAGCAGTAACATCTACAGCAGCTACACAATCTGGATAGCCTGCTAATATAAGGGCATTTTGTCTAGCCTTGTCAAGGTCCAGCAACATGGAATGAAAGCAATAGCCATGGGCTTATGACAGTCTCTTCTGTCAGCCCAGGAAACTTCAGCTAAAGTAATTTCAGAATTCAGTAAAGAGCAGGTGGACAATCCCAAGCAGTACCACTTAGTAACCAAAAGATTTAGAAAATGCCAGCTCCAGTAATCCCTATACATTGCTATTTGGTGCTGCCTTTTTTTTTTTTTTTTTGAGCATAAGCTGTCACAATGAGTGAGAATAACATCCTTTTCAAAAAAGAATTGCTCCTCAGCCCCCTTCTGTCCTCAGAGCTGACCAAACAATCAACCTGTTCTGTTCAACCCTTAGATCATTGGGGAATAATCTATAATATTACTGCTTTTGGTAGTAGGAGAGAAAGTGAAATCTACGTATCTCAGAATAACTCCTGTTGGGTGCATCTTACAACTTTCCTTTTCCCTCCAGTACACATTACACTCACTTCCCCTGTGAAAAAGCCCACTATTGAATACAGTAGCAAAAGGATTTCCTCGCAACAAAAAGAAACTAATAGATCATCCAGTTGCTAAGACACAGTTCTAACAAGATTTAAAACACAATAGAAAATACGTAATTTACAACTTAACTTGGACTTACCCGTGGACTGGCTATGCACAGGAAGGACGGCAGCTCAGTCACCTGGCAGCACCGTACACATGAGGTAGCTGATCTCCTTCGGTGTATGACATGATCTGAATAGCCAGTAACCGCTTTACAGTGGCTACTGAACACAAGATTCTGAAAACAAAATTTAAATTAAGAAGTTACTGTATCTATAAAGAAAAACCCTGCTTAAATCTTGTAACCACCCATGAGAAAGACAGAGGACATTCAGTAAATATTTCTCTTTGAAAAAAGGAAATCTACACATCATCTGCAGTGACAATGTGCAGGATCTTTGTGTAACTATCAGAATATTCACATTCTGAAATGGCTGAAATCAGAATAGCTCCTATCAATACTTGACTTTACACTCGGTTGGAACCAGAAACAAGTTTTTCCTTCTTTGAACCTTTTGACCTTAGCTTTTATAATGAAGGAAGATGTACAGGAATATTCTAGGAGGTCTGACCCTCAAGCTGATTTCTAGCTACTCCTTTATCTATTCAAAAGCATGGATAAAATGAAATTTGGCAGAAAAAAACCATTAAGACTTTAAATGAGACTGGACTGGTATCTTTGGACTTTTTCATCTTTTCTTACTTCTTCCCTTCCTGTGCAAAATGGCTCTGAATTTCATCCTGAAGACTTTCAAGGTGCTATCTATCAGGGTTACATACACACATGAACACACCCCATGTGTAAACCTGGAATTTGCCACAAATGGATCAATATCCGTTCAATACACAAAAATATACTGACTTAAAAGTGAGGGCACGGAGATGACACTGCAGTTTAAAGAAAGGAAAGCTCTTTGAAGATGCTCAGCTCTATACAGAAAAATAACGGGAAAAAATACTGTCTTCGCTTGCATCCAGTTTCTTACTGTAAATATCTGCACCAAACAATGAAATAAACTGCTTAGAGACTAAGCTATTTTTACGACTTAGTTTTTATTCTGACTCTTCTATATTCATAGCAACCGTTATTATTGTGTGTAATTGTTTCCTATAATATGCAGAGTATTATTCTGCAAGCTATAGGAAACAAGCAACAATTTTAGAAACACTGAGAGGTAGGTATACCTCTCACTGCCATGGGATCACAGGATGGACTCTCCTGACAATTGTAGAAGTTCACCTGAGTGAAATGTAAACAGTATCTAAAGCTTTGGCATTGCTCTGCCCCAGTTCCTAATGCACCAGAATTAACTGCACGCTACTTAAAACTTTACAGAGCCTCTCAATTTTCTAAAACCCCAGTTCTAAACATTGGGGTTCATGACTGAAGTAGATGTCATGTTGTACACTGGATATACGCATTCCTACATATGTCAAAAAATGATAGAAAACATGCACAGCAGATAGAAAACTTGCACAGCGTGGTCTATTATGTATCAGACATTCTGGGCCTTTTTTGTTTCCAGATGCAGATACAGTGGGCAAGATGCAGATGGCTAGCACATGTAATTTGGAACCTGCTGACAAGGGATAAAAATACTCTTAGAGTACGTACATACATGCTGGCACCACCTAAGAAATCCAATCAGTCAATCCTAGCATGTACGTGGGTCTTTCAGCTGCCACCAGTGTGACTTGTGGTCTGGAGCTGGCAAAAATAAAAGTTCATACTCTCTGACTGAACATCTGCTCCTCTACAGAAAAGGTAAAAGCAGAAAGAGCTGACAATAGCCTTTCATTGACACTCAGCAGGGCTAAAAAGCACAGGTCAAAGCTTGGGCCACACTGGATAATGCAAAGTGATCCCAAAACCAGGCTCTTACTCAGCTGGCACTTCTTTATCAGTAATGCTGGCTTAAGCAACAAGTGCTTCACATGTTCATTCCATCCTGGCAGAGCCCCTTCTTGCTGGCCTAGCTGTCTTTACTCATTGAGATGCTGATCAAGATGAAAATAAAGCCTTCTCCCTCCACTGCAAGTTAGTTTTGTGATCTGTTCCACCACCTGGTAAAACAGGCCATGTGCTGAAACAGCACAGTGGGAAACGCAAGGCTGTGGACAACAGATGTGGATGCTGGCTTACTCATCTGAGGACCAGAAACGGTGGCAACAAAGCACCAGTACTGCTGCTGGAAAGGGGGAGTCCCTTCCCATGACTTATTTTTGCCACTTTCTGCGCCAGTTTTATCATCTGTCACACCACTCCAGACCTATTTAGCTATACATCTCATCAAAGAACAAACTCAACAGCCATGACCAGTCCGTGGTCAGGTCATGCAGGGATGTGACAGCGCCAGCCCACGTCAGCATAGGCAGGATTCAGCAGCTGGGTGTGAAAAAAGGACGGCAAGAGTCAGAGGGGTCTGATGACTGACTTCCCTCTCAGCTACAGCAGGCTACGATGGACTCCGAACAAGTGCTTTAGCTCAAACCCCATCTCCGCCTCACCCCTGGCCCACACTAGGGGTACAGCTGATTTTACGAAGAGGAATCAGCATTGCATGCAGTCACAAGAGCTTTCCAGTGAGTCTTATGACAGCAAGCACTGGCAGACTGACAGTGGCCCTGGTCATTAGAGCCGTTTGGTAACTTCATTTCCTGGAAAGTGAGAATACAAGAAATGGATAGAGAGAAAGCTAACAAACTGTAATTCCAAACTCAGGCAAGTTTGTTATTTGTCTTTTGGAAGACAACATCAAAGAGCCACCAAAGATGGCTTTAGCCCAATTAGAAGTACCCAGGAAAAAACATACAGGAAAACTTGCAAAAATGTATCCAAAATAAGAGAAAAATATTATTTTTCTATACATTCAGTATTAGGGGTAGGTCTTGTACATGGACATAAATCCGGTTTTCAGCGCCATGCTTCCTGTGCACAAACCATGAGCAGGTCACACATAAAACATCCCCCTCTGAATTCCCTGACATACGCAGCCATTAAGCATTCAAGAACAGAGCAGACACCAGATCCAACAGGGACGACGGAAACCAGCTTCCCATCATTCACATACATGGAAAAGACTGGCTAAGGTTACAGAACTGTAATGGATCATATACCTCAGTATAACAAAGCCAAGAGGAGGATTGTTAAAAATAAGAATGTACACATCTACTGCAACCATGCGATCCAAAGTAAGCGTTGAAAGAGGCTTTCCTATATCGCACAGCTGCACATAAATATGGGTGATGTGCTGGTAGCACCTTAAGCTCATTAACACTCCTAATTTATTTAGAGAAAATTAGGAGAACAAAGGAGAGAAGGGTTTCACCTCAACAGATCACGTTTATATTAATTTAAATCAATGCATACAAATTAATACACATGTGGAGGTGCTGAGTACGGGGAACGAAGAGACCTCACACTGCAAGAGATATCTGTGTTTACATGAAGGAACTCATGCTATCTTTAGGCAGATGTTACCTCATTTTCAGCAAGATCTTTTTTCTACTGAGTTATTTTCATGTTTTGTCTCTTATATCGGAAATGCTGATCTGAGCAGTTAAGAAAAGCCTTTCCAGATTTATACCATTTCCTTTTTCCTCTGTTTCTCCCCCTTCTCACTCCCTACATGTTACTATCTTATGAAGCAGCAGAGGAAGCCTCGGGGAATTGTACATTGAAAGTTTCTCAGATTTGGGCTAAAATAAAAAAAAGTCAGCTCATTTTCACTCGTAATGCATGCTGATAAAAGAAAGACATGTAAAGGGGCAGTTTGTTTTACAACTTGGTTTTGCACTTTTTTTTTTTTTAAGATGTTCTACATGCAAGCCGTGCAAACAAAATCCTGCAAACACAGCTTATTTTGAAGTGAGTTCAGGTGGTAATTCGTCTAACATGCAGGGCAGAAAACAGTCCTAAAGAATCTGTCATAACTACAGGGCTAATAGTCTTTTAGATTTACTGGGGTTATCACAAATGCACTGCATTGCACACGCTGATGAACTTTGCCCCTCAGGTGGCTGTTTTCTATGTAAAAGGTACTAGTTGCACCACTCACCAGTTACACACAGTCACAGCACTGAGAATCCCTGAGACACGAGTAATGACTTCCTCCAAGAACAGAAATCATTCAGAGAAACCAAATTATATGTTTAAGTCCTGCCAGGATGTGGTACAGGTGGGTCCTTAGGCTCTACATTCCATTGTACATATTAAAACCTACATGTGCATATTCCACACCTCATATTTAGTGTCTATAATGTTCACTCACCTCCTGTCCTTTAAGAAAACAAGTTGAATTTCATGTGATTATTTAAACACACTAACCCAAAGGCTATGTAAAGATCTAGACTGTGTTTCTACATATGTAAAAACAAATGATAGATCTGTAAGTGCATGCAACTTCTGACACCATCTTCTACTTCTTTACTGTTAGGCTGCAACATTTATGACATCACACAAATTTTCCTTAACCATACCAACAAGAGGACAGAGCTACAGTGTAGTTTCAGAGATAAGCACTACACAGTGTACAAACAGCTGAATGTAATAACTAAAAAGCTAACTGAAAGCAAATCCATGTAGTGTAGGCGTTTTATCAAGCTAGACATGGACACACAGAATATTCAGACACCAGCACAGCCAGAGTTAACTGGCATACACACTCAGTTGGCTTGCTTTGATAACTAGGATGACTCATTTTGTTGGCTTTGCTGTTAACGCTGCAAAACATGACACCAAGCCCAAGGTTGGTTTCCTACTGCTTATGCGTCTTCAATTTCAACTTCCTCTACACGCTATTCAATTGAATTCTGGCTATCTCCTTTCCCCTTCCAGACTCATGAACAGAAGCAATATTCCCTAGAGAAATTTGGCACAATCTCACTGTTTCAGAAAAGATTTTTTTTACCTCATATCTGCTAACTGCCCTAGGTGCTTTCCTGACTCTACGCTAGCACTTTTGTGAACTTAATTCCCAGTGAAACGAATCAACACAGCTATAACCTAACTCAGGAAGTCAACAGCAATTTAGTCATAAAAAGACAGAACCTTCACACACATCCCAGGCAAAAGATTTGTGAAAATGACCTTGCATTACACAGTAAGATGAGCACATTTGGTGTCTACCAGACAGCTGCAGAAGCAAATTTCAGAGTAGAAAGAAACCACTGTCAATGCTTGTCCACCTACTCTGAAACACTGCTAGGCTTAAGCCTCTGCTTTCCCCAGTTGCTGCAACAATGTACTGCATTTGATGAGAGTTAATTTCAGTCAGAAAACAAGCGTCTTGCATGTAGAAAACCACTGCAAAACTCTTAAGCTTGCATGGAGTCAAGTTCCGTTGCTCCAGTAATATTTTTAAGACTTCTAATTCAACTGATTTATTTTTTTATAGCAAGTTTTGAAATGTATCAAATGTATCACCACATGGGGGGAAGATAGCAGTTAGTTTTCTGCTCAGCACTCTGAACTTTATTAACTATACCTAATAAAGCAAGCAGTAAAGTCATCCCGTTTCCAAGTTTGTTTTATACGGATAGAAAGGCTGTCATCATTTCTCACTCATGAGGATTTGCTACTGTCTCCACACCACAGAAATTCTGCTTACCTGCAGCAAAGCGCAGCTGTGCAAGTTAGGAAAAGACAGTGGGAAATTTACATCAAGCAAGAAATCCCTGTTCCTCAGAAAATGTGACCCCTGCTGCTTCTCCCCTTCTGGCTCCATCCAGGAGCGCATGTGATGGAGCCTGTAGGATGCTTTCAGAGACAGGAAAAGAGCTAACCATCTGAAACAGAACACAGTACACACATTTATTCACTGCTTTGTGAAAGAAAGGCTTGAGTTTATTTACAACATAACTCTATTTGATGCAAATGATTTTTTTTTAGAATGTCAGGCTTACGGTGTCCTGACTTAAAGAAAATTATTTTTGCTAGACATCTTCCAATTGTATTACTCTTATTTTAATTTTTTTCTAGAGAGGCTTAACTTAATCTGAGTGATTAAGCCAAAATGCACTTTGAAGCACTTTGTTTAAAAGGGTTGAGCCCGAGTTAGCTACTGCTACTTAAAATTGCATTCTGGCTTCTTTGTAAATTGCTCCATATATAAATTATTCATAACAACCTGCATAATGAATGCAGAATTTATCATAAAGATCATTCAGGCAGATCAAGAGAATTTTTATTATGTTATTGAAACGCAGAAAAGAAACAGTAGTCCAATCTAACCACAACAATAAAAGAATATTACACTTACAAAGCCCTAAGCAAAATCCCTTTATCTATTACTAAAGACTTTATTTTATCTCAAATTTTTTACAGTCACTATCTAACTTCAGTCAGAGTACACTGTACTTGTTGCAGAGTACACTGTAACTTAAGCAGATCACATCCCTTTCCAAGATAATATTGTTCATGATGCTAAAAATCCATTATCATAAGCCTACATCTTGGAATTCCATAACACATTAAAAACAGGACATGTGGAAAGCAGACAATATGACGCTGAGCTGAAAACCAACAATCACAGCACAAGCTTATTCCACGTGTTAAAACATTGGCTCAAGTGCAATTGGTAAGCGTTGCAATAAACTGGCCTTCAAAAGTCTGGATTTTGTGTTTGGTAACGCCAGCCACCTACAGTGCGATCCTACGCAAACTCTTCTGTTGCCCTTTGCATATTTACAATTCAAATCTCTGTAACAGAGGTTTTCTTTTGACACAGGCATAAATACTGCCTTGCATAATAGTGCTCTATACTTGGGGCAACAGTCTAGAAGGTGCTGTAATATTAGATAACGATAGACAAATTATAATATTTGGAGGCATAGAAAACACAGGTTTACGGACAGGTGCCTCTAACATCACCTGTACTTTTCCTACAATTAATAAAAGGCGGGCGGGGGAAGTTGTCCTCACCTGGCTAAATGTCCCTGATTCATGAGGTTTGCCATTTCTGCTGGAGACACATCAATAAACCGCAGGAAAGAAAAACAGCTTTCTTCATTGATGCCTGTGTCACAGACGTAACTGAAGTTAGGCCAATATATTTCACAGACATACCTCCCTTGTTTTTTTCTCCCAAAGTTTTTCACACCCCAGCAGCTGAGCAATCTAATTAGTTCTTTTTAGTGGAAAAAAACCCCTCACCAATCATCTATAAAAATTAATTGTATTTGTCAATATAAGCATTTTATGTATGGTTTTTGCTTATTGATTAGATCCTGGGTCACTTGCATCTCATCTACTTTTTACTTGTAAGAAAGTTGGCAGTTTAACTGCCAACACACCACACAGAATGTACTGAAGTGAATCCCAGATTTCTCTGAATTGAATCTGTGAAAAATTCACATTAGACTAAAAAGGCAGCATTAATCCCTTGAAGCAAGTTACAAGACAAGAGGAATGGAACAAGAGACTGCAGTAGAATTAAGCAGTTACTAAAATAGTAAGTTGTTCATAGATCATTCTTCCAGCTGCTTCCATCCCTTCCTCATTGAGCAAATGAAATGTATGTGCAAGTACGAACGCTAAAAAATTTTAACAAGTTTTAATCAGATTATCTCAGGGGACTAATTGATTTGGCCTCTCAGTCCTTCCCCCTGAATAAGACATATTCCAACATCACATGCAAGTGTGAAACCCAACTTGCTTCCCAGAACTGTAAACCTACCCTTCCTATGGAAGAGAGACTGCTGGATGTGGTCTGGTGCAAATGGCGAAAGTAAAACCCGTAACCACCTGAAAATGAAAGCAACAAAACCAAACAAAATCACTAAGAAGGTGTTAACACGTACAATGTTCAACCACATAATCAGCAGAAAAGGCAGAGTAACCATTCTGTTCTTCATTGTAAGTATATTCCAGCACTTTGGATATCTGGAATTGCATGGCAGTAAGAAAAGCATCATCAGCCCACATGCACTGCTGTTAATTTGACACCGAGACACACCACTGTTCTGGAATAGCATTTTACACTGTAGAACAGTTCACATAATCTTGAAACATGGCTTTCCTGTCTCTGCCCTCACCATTTCTCTTAACTGAATGCAAATAAAATTAATCAAGAATTGCCACAGTTGGAGAAAACAGCAAACTTCACTCAGGCAGCTTCTATTCATCCAAGGTAAGCATTAAAAGACGTTAAGTAGATGCTCACGATATACCACGTCACAACAGATACTGATAGCTTCCTTCAACTTGAAAACTCACTGAAGGGAAACCATGGCTCTTAGTTCGTGGGGCTTTTTTTGGATTTTTTTTAAGCATTCATTCTTTTAAAGCTTTATTCTAGTACACATCATCAGCAACAACTCTCAATTCCTTTTCCTGACTTATTCCATCAAAGGGATCCTTGATGATCAGGATTCCACCAAGAAAGAGCATCAGATATCAGATGCTTAACAGCTGAATGAACAAAAGAAAACTAGGAATGCATTTCTTGGCCAATGTAATTTAAGAACATCAGGTAAGGGAGTTAATAAGCACTTATACAAAGCTAAAATGAGTTTAAGTAGTAATATAAATATGCTAAGCTAGAGAGGAAGCAGTGTAGGCTTGCCTGTCCCGTGAGTGGTTAAAGACCCTGATCTGTCCATGACGGTAGATGAACTTCGAAATCTGGTATGGCTTTAGGGAGATGTGAAATGGAGACCAAGTTTCTTGTCGTTCAAACAGCTCTGGGTGATTGCACACCTATGAGAAAGACAGCATGTCAAACACTGGGAGGTATTAATTCAGTCCAATACAGCATTTACATCCCAAATCAACTGTGACTACTGATCACTAAAACTTCAGTATTGATGCGTATGTCAAAGCTCTACTCAAATTTGAATACTGCATCATATTTTTTCCTGTTCACATAACAGCTGTGGCCGTCTTCTTCCCAAGTGAATGACTTCCTTCAACAACCAATTTGGATTCAAATCAGTTAGCAGATGCACGCACCATTTGGCTAAAGCTCTTCCACCCCAACAGCATACTGCACTGCATCAGAAACACAACTAAACTGCATGAAAATTTGCTTGCCTATGCAAGAAATTTTTTTCTAGGTGGTGTTTTCTAGAAGCCGTATTTTAGTTTTGTGCTAACGAATGATTATACTTTCAAAAAATTATTATTTAAAATATCCTTACCTTCCTGAACTGCATGACTAGATTCATGAGACTACTCGTGGTGGTCTGTGCTTGCTGAGTTGTACCCATTGAAGACTGCAGGAGGTCATCAATAGAAATTTTGTTTTTCAGAGCTTGGTACAACAGCTTCTGTCGACTTGTCTGCTGACAGTACATAAGAATTTCGATCTGCAAAACAGTAATGAAGATTTAGCCTTTTCTGTCTCTGAAATGGAGGATGACCACATCCGTACACACAAAGCAGAGAAAAACATATCTTAAGGAAAACACAACTTTCTCCAAAAAATCATCCATAGGCAGTCACATCTGTAGCTGTATTTCAGGACCAAACCTGGGAAGGACTTAACTGATAGGTGTTTCAGAAGGCTTAGGTAATGATGTAGGAGACAGACCTGTAAAAGTACGTGAGCTAACAGATTCTTAAGAAGCTCTGACAATATCACATCTGCAGCTGATCAGCTTAAAACCTGACCTCACTTCTACTATCTTACTGTTAAAATGCTGCCCATTTAGAGCTGTCTTGAAACGGCTGCCAGGAGCTCATGATAATGACACATGCATCCTATAACAACAGCATCTGTGGGAAGTTCTGGTTTTGTAATTAATAAGCACATCAGAACAAGGTAGATATCTCTTATAGCCAGTGGTCCTAAAACATGGGGACATGCTGACCACAAGATTATCCTGTATTGCTACTGGATAGCCACATGAAATCCACTGGAAATCCACATGGACATCCATATGAAATTAAGAAGCTAACAAGAGAGAAGAGTACCATGTTCTCACTACACATTTCTTGCTCTCTACAAGCAAGCAAAAAGAACCCTAAATCCATGCCAAATACTTCATAAAGGCAACTGGAGATGTTTATCATCCAATAGTCACTCTATCTCCTTCACTTCAATTAGCAATATCACTGTTAATCAGGTGTAAAGATTTTTTTATTTGTAACTGTTAACAAAATGTTTTCCCAAGAAGAGAAGTTTATTAAATATGGGTTCTACAGTTACATTCACATCTCCTGAGATTGCTGGGACGCGGTACCAAAAACTGAAGGTGTGTGAAAGGTCTAAAATCAAATTCCAGGTATGCATACTGAGAAATGAGTTTGCAAAAACCAAATTGCAGAACAGAGTTATGGCAATAAAGCTGAAATACTCATTCCAGATAAATACTTTTTCTAACCTTATCTGACAGCTCATTTTCCACATCCTTCTTGATTCTTCTCAACATGAAAGGCTTCAGGATCATGTGCAAGCGGGATAGCTGGTCTGAAATACAGGGAATGGGAAAAAGGAGCAATTACTTCACCAAAAGCAGAAAACTATATAGTGTTCTACAAATTAAATCCCTTACTGTTCAGCCATTTCCCACCATATAAGCTCTTACACTATGGAGTTGCTATTTCTTTGTTGATTTTTCTTTTTTTAAATGTGTGGTGAGCTACACTGCTTAACTTACAAATCTAACGATCAAAGAATGAGCTTCTAAAGCATTTTATATATTCTATAGTCCTCTGAGCTGAACAAGATGGGCTTAAATTTATCACTCGCTATTAGCGAAGAAGAAATTTTCACGTGAGACATTGCTAATTCATTAAAAGAGAGTGTCATCTTTTTAAGTCTCACCCTTCAAAATTATAGTATCACAAGAACAGGGCATACTGCGCTGACAGACAACTGCAGTTTTTACTATAACCTGTAAAATCAAAGTTCTGGGTATTTGAGAACTCAAAGCTTTTACTTTTGTGACAAATTCCAGCTGTGCCGTGCTCTACTCCAATTACAAATTTTACCCAGCTAGATTTTTCTACATAAGCTCTAAAATCTACTGTGAAGATTTTTTTTTTTAAAAGAAATTTTATGGTTTTCTTCTGGAGCTCAAAAGGCATGCCTTTAGCACTTTGTGTCACAATTTTTATGTCTAGAGCTTGTAACATACTCTAGAGACCTCCAAAATGATGCGCTCTGTAGAAACTCACAAATACTTAAAATACTTGCTCACCTGTGTTTGGGAAGGAGGACTGGGGACAAGTAGCAAATCAACATTTTCACTACGTGTTTTTCTATTCATTACACAAGCTACATTACTGTCAAACACAAACGTTGACATAAACTATGGAAAAGAACCCTTAACATTCCAATCCAATTTATGCATCCTCTGCTTTAGACTACATTTCTCATAGCAAAAAAACCCCAAACAGATATAAAGTTTATCCATTAGCAGTTGGACACGGTAACAGATTTTTAATATAAAAACTACTGCAGCTACACACTGCACTCACTCTCATCAATGGCGGATTTGTTCTCTGCATGGCTCTCGATGTCCTTAGAAAACCACTCATTGAACTCTTCATGGGAATCAAACAGCGTTGGCATGATAAAATGGAGCAGGGCCCACAGCTAAAAGGAGAGGAGAAAACAGCAGATCAGCAAGGGTCACTCTACTGTGGACAAGGTAATAGGGGATCCCAAACCCCTGTAGCTCATTATGAGCAAAATCACTTTACTAGATCATGAGACATGGCAAAATTAAACAAAAATTCAGCCACATCCTCTCCTGCCCCTCCCCCGACAAATGCCACATCAACAGATCTGTCAGCACCATTAGAAAACAGTGACAAACACAGCGCAATGATTTCAGCTCACAGAAGGAAAAGCCACAAGAAATAGATTTCATCCTGTAATCTAGCTATTCCTAACCATCAGGTATCTTCAGCTTTATTTTTATTTGAATGTGTGGCACATTTCCAACTTTTCCCCTCCCAGAGCTTTTCCACATTTGCCAGTCATTGCTACAAGCACGACCCCACAACCACAAAAATGCAACAGGTTTCCCAACTATTCACATATATTCAGTATATATTCTTGTGATAAAGAAAGACCCACTCTTGTGAACTCCTGAATACCTCAGCCATTGTGTTCTGGATTGGGGTCCCAGTCAACAACAATCTGTTTCGACACTGGAACTGCAGTAGGATCTTCCAACGAACACTGACGAATAAAATTTAAGAAAAAAATAATTAAAACTGTTGTGGGTTTTGGTTTGTTTGGGGTTTTTTTGTAGAGGGATATAAAACATAAGATCTATTGACTCCATTGACCTTCCCAACTGATTTTTGGAGGTCACTGGGTAAAACTACCACAGCTGCTCCCCAGTGTTTCAAAAAACAATTACAGGAAGAAGTAGCCTTTTACAAATTGCAAAGAAACGTGCATAATTTGCTTTCTTTTTTCTGATTTTTTTTTTTTTACTCTTGAATACAAATGCTTGGATACTAATAAAATCTCATCAACAGAATAATTAACTTCCCAAAAGAAAAAGTTATTATGAATCAGAACGTCACGTATTTTTCAGACCACGACACTAGGCACAGGAGCTACGGTGGCAGGAGTGCTGAGCTATATATTACAATCTGCTGAGGGGGGACGGTTTCCAAGGAATGCTGAAGAGAAAGACTTTGGTCAGAACGAGTCTGCAGTTAAAGCAGTCTTCACCCTACTGTGTACGGTGGCAACTTGGGCAAAGGTTATGGGAAAGCAATTACAGAAGTAAAGACAGACAAATCTATTACTTGAAAACAAACATAAAACTTTCTGGCAGAGTCTTAGGACAAAGATTGGGCTTTATTGCTGCCAACAAACAGTATTCACTGGGTTCTGACCTTCACTCGTGTCTGGAAGTACCAATGAAGAAGGAACCAAGATAATGCATTTCATGGAGCCAATATAAGCAACACACACTAAACACTACAGACTGTTCACCAGGCAGAATTCTGTGAGTAGTCAGGAAAGAAGGCGAATAGCATTTCAGTGTTTTGTTTAACTGCAAGTTTCAGCTCCACAATTGCTTCTAAATTGCATTTTTGGAGAAGGAAAATCCAAATGCAAAAAACCAGTGCATCAACCCAGTCTCGTGGAGTTATACTTCACTAGACACTTAAAAGGTTTTATGTGAGTCATTTTAACTTCTGTCAATTTATATATAATGTTGGTATTTCCTTGACATTCCTTCATGAGGTTATACAGAGGCAAGATTTTGTTTCCAGTTAATTTATTACCTGGAGCTACTCTTGAGTGCTTGTGCTTCATCCAGCACCATGTACTGCCACTTCACTCGCTGGAAATACTTCACATCCTGTACTACCAGCTGATAACTGGTGATCACCACGTGGAAAGGAGCATCCTGAGTATACAGTGTCTTCTGCAAGCACAAAGTAAGAAACAAATGTCCGTATAATGTAAATACATTGTGAGGAGTTCCCTTGCGTATAGCGTAATTTCAGACTTCTGTTTCATAACCTTTCTCATTATTACTGCATTTTTCTCCCATCTGACTTTTAAAATTAATTACAGCATGGTTAATCAAGTGTTGGATGCTTCTGAATGTGCCAGACAAGACTGAGGCACTGAACCCCACAAAACGCTGTTGTTAAATCAGGAACAATCTTGACAGGCCAGTAGGGATGCTGGACTTGGTCATCCTGTGTTAGGTTTATCAAACAGAATAAACAGTCCTTGACACTGAGACTTCCTGCTTTATTTACAGAGCTCTAGTTTCTTCAGCTGAACTCCATACTGCCCTGATCTGCCCTGTACTGTATTGCTCTCCAGCTCAAGAGAAGCCTTCTACCTTAACGAAAATGCTACCACACAGATGAAGAAACAAAGCTCTGTATCCATGAAAAAGAACTCTGTATCCACACATCATTTAACTTGGTGGGGTGTAGCAGGAGTTTCTGGTTTACTCTGCACAGATAACTATGATGGTTGAAGCACACAGGCGTGCTGATATTACCTGACTCCAGAACTTCCTGATCACCTTTCTATCATGGGGATTTCCCCAGTAAGGTAGCACCTGGAACAGCACAGAAGTAGAAAGGCATTATTTTCAAATAAACACATGCCTGGTCTAGAATTTTATCCTACATATTCTACAAAATGAGACAGACCTCTTTCTCCAAAATAATGAAAAGTGAAATTATTTTTCTTAACACAGGAAAAAAAAAATCAAAAAGCACTTACAAGTACTTAGAGCATTCCCAGCAAAGGTATCGAGCAACCCACACCCCGTACAAAGACTAGATCAAGCTATGCTAAGAATCAAAAAATACCCAGCAGCATGTTACAGCTTCTAGTCAGGTTTTTCTAAAAAACTGAAAATGATACTATGCCTACGGCAGAAAGAGGTCTGCCACAACTGCTACGGTTAACCCTACAGGACTAGTGGGCTCGTTCTCCTGCTTAACATTCCCTATTGTCCCGCTGATTTTGTATTTCAGGACTCTCCCCAAAAATCAGAGACAAAACATCTGTTCCAGACATATTTAATACAAGATTTTAAAAAAAGTAAGCCTTATTGCCAGAGAAATCTATTAATCCATGTATAGCTCAGAATTTCATGGGTCCTGTTACTCCGAACAGATCTTTGCAGTGCACAGAAGCCAGTTACTGGTTACTAATACTGCACTGCCATCTTCTGCCTGATGAAAGGACTACACCCAACTAAGACAAAGTGAGGAATCATAGAATGGTTTGTGTTGGAAGGTTGGTTTCTGAGGTTGTGAAAGGTCTTGAACACCTCTATCCTCCAAATACCAAGCTCCAAATTTCAAACTGCCTTCAGCTGAACATTCTAACTATTCTGACATAAGGATGCAAGCCAAAAGCCATCAGATTAACCAAAAAGTGATTTGACTTTTAGTTAAAATATTCTGCCATGGACCTGCAGAAATGAATTCACTGTGATTTTCTACAAGCATAACTGACTACACACTTGTGTAAGATTAGAAGGACTTACGTATGATTAGAAACATAAATAAAACTGGTTAAAAAAGATTGAAACAAGTTGTAAACATGTAACAATCATAAATCTAGAAAGCTTCTTAAAACATGTTCTGTTCCATGGATGAGGTAAACATTATTATGCAATAAAACCAGAGAACAGCTATATAATGACAGAAACAGAATTTTGTTTAAATCAAAAAACAGAAAATTATCTTTTCACAAAAAAGCATCCTGACTGCATTTTTGAAACGTCTTCTGCACTGCACTCATGAGAAGGAAAAAGCATAAACAGTTGCTCGCCTGTTCTATACAATGAACTTATTCAAGGGAACAAGAGAAAGCAAGTAGGTAGAATGGCCACCTGCTCTCCTGTTTTCTACAGCAGCATTTTTAATCCGGGCCCCTACTGTTCTGGGCTATGCAAATAAAAAAACCCTAGCTATAATGCATTTATGTAAGTAACTCCTCACCAACTTAAGCATTTCTATTACTTCATCAGTTTCTTTGAAGTCTCAGTAATCCAAATTTATCCCAAAAGACAAGCCACCTGAATCATTCAGTATTGAACTGTGTTCTAGCACAATTTTCCCTCGTACAGATACCTCAAACTACACACCACCATCACCAACACATGGTCCCATCAGGGATCTGCAGAGCAAGCTATCTGGCAAAAAGTTACGTTTGTTAATACTGCCCTACTTCAGATCAAGAAATCAGATATTACACTAATACTTCCAAGTCTTTTCCTCCATCTTATTAATTAGCCAAGACATTCAAATAATTAGCCCGTGTGTTACTGGTATGTATGCTGGTTACTTATAACAAGGTGTCTTTCACTGTTCTTATATGTTGCCTGTAAAAAAGAAAATCCAATGTTTAAAAAAACCTGATCAAGACCTCTTTATATCAAACGTTACTACATCAACTCAAATATTTAAACTATACTCTTCTTTGCGGATGTAACTTCAAGCTTCTGATGCGTTTATCTTTAATTCTAAAATTTCAGCAGAACACGTTCTTTTCAAATCTTCCTTTCCAACACTCTAATGTTCCACTGAGGAACAGGTAAGCAGCTTGTTTTCACCAACTGATCATTCCTTGCTTTCTGCTTTGCTGTGTTTTCACCTTCACCACATACCTGAACCAAATTATTTTCTACTAATATTTTTGTTCTTACCTATTTGTGCCTCACTTCTCTCCTTTTTCTTGATTACTGGCTGTATGTCTATGATTCTTCTATTTTTCTGTAATAAAAATTGCATTTCTCTCTCCCTCTATTCTATTTAGTGTTCAGTTTTGTTCACATACAGTCTTTATCTTACCCAAATTGATATGAAAGACTGAAAACTAGTTGTTTTTAGACAAAACTTGTTGGAACTAGATGATCTTTAAGGTCCCTTCCAACCCAAACCATTCTGTGATTCTAAAACACTGCTCTAACCCTAAAGACAGTATGTCAGACTGAAGTATTATTCATTTATCTGCTGCCAGGCACACATTAGAACTCAACATCCACTCCCTGCCCCGTTTCAGATTCCTCACTGAGAAGGTGGCTTTAAGCTGTTGCAAAAGGAAAATCTGTTGATTCAAGTAAGAACATTTTTAAACACTAGATAACTGAATGCTCCAGAAAAAAACAGGATGACAGAAAAAAAGTATCAGAATTGAGCCCATTACAGACTTTTAAATCCAAGGTAATTAGGCATCCAGACGTGGCAAAGAACTCAGGAGAACTGAACAGTTTGCTTTTGAGAAAACAGAAAGAACTTTCTTGCATGTGCTTTTTACCTTAAATTTAGGTACAAATCTGGCAAACTCCTGGTGCCAGTTGTTAAGAGTAGACGCAGGTGAAATTATTAAAAAAGGTCCCCAGATGTTCTCTCTCTGGAATATACACATTTAAAAATGACACACAGAAATTAACTGGGGGGAAGGGACATCGAGATAGTTTGATACAGCTTTACAACTTCAAAATGACAGTGGCTACATAAGAGAGGGAACTATATGCAACAACACAGAACTTCTCTCAGCACAGCAGGGTGATACAGAATCAAACAGAGCAGATCTAAGGTGTAACTAAGACATCTCACAATGGCAAACCAGAACAGTCACCACCGTGTCAATCTGGTTCAAGTTCCCACCTTCACATTACTATCAGCCCCTGTCATTCTTCAAAGAATATAATAATATTATAAGAA